ACGACGACGACGACGACGGCGGCGACGACGACGACGCCGACGTCGACGACGACGAAGACGACGACGCCGACGCCGACGACGACGACGAAGACGACGACGACGTCGCCAACGAAGACGACGACGAGGGAGGAGGGAGGACGACTACGGCGACAACGACGACAACGACGACAACGACGACAACGAGGGAGGAGGGAGGACGGCGACGACGCGAACGACGAAGAAGGAGGAAGGACGGCGACGCCGACGACGACAACGACGAGGGAGGAGGGAAGGCGACGACGAGACGACGACGACAACGACGATGACGACGACAGCGACGAAATAAGAGGGACGACGACGAGACGCCGACGACGGACGACGACGACGACGACGACGACGACGACGAGGGAGGAGGAGGAAGGACGACCACGGCGACAACGACTACGGAAACGACCACGACGCCAAAGAGGACGACGACGACGAACACGAGGAAAGACACAGGACGACGTAGGCGACGACGACGACGACGACGCGGGAGGAGGGAGGACGGCGACGACGACGACGACGACGACGACGGCGACGCCGCAAGAGCGCGCGCGCACACTTTTGTTGAAAATCCGTGTTGCGAAACCTTGTGTTTTTGTAGGTTTTTTGGACGCGCGATTTTGAAATTCTTCCGAAACCGATGGGTTTTGAAGGATTTCGGCGTACGCGCGCGACGACGCGCGCGTCTGCACTTTGTCTCAGTTTTTGCAGAGGATTCTCGCGACGGCACACGCGCAAGGCCGTTCGACAGATTTCGACATGCGCGCGCGACGCCCGTTTGGTAGCATGTTGTGAAAATCTTGGAAAACCAATGGTTTTCTGGAAACTCCATTGCGAAATCCTTCCGGCACCGAAAGTTTTTGAAGGATTTCGGCATGAGCGCGCGACGACGCGCGCGTGTGCACTTCGTCCCATTTGTTGCAAGGGATTCGTGAAAAAGTGTTATGTTAGAACAGAACATGTCACCGCATAGTGTTTTTTAACAAGGGAACCTCAGGGGGGGGGATACCGGTTGGCCTGGGACATTGCGATTTCATATTTAGGATGGACATGTGGTCATAATCATATGTGATTTACATACCCGAAAGGGGGGGCGATAACGCCGGGGGGGGTAGAGTCTATTCTCTTTTTAGAAAGGAGAATCTAGGTGGTGCAATCAAAGTGGTGCAACCTAGGCGGTGCAATGGTGCAATATATGTGGCGCGAAGCAGTGCAAAGAAATGCAAATCAGTGCAAAGCGATGCTAAATCATGCTCACCAATGCAACGCAATGCAATGCAATGCAACGCGATGCAAAGCAATGCAACGCAATGCGATGCAAACCAATGCAAGTCAATGCACAGCAAAGCAACACGAACCAGTGTAATACAAAGCAATGCGCTTGCAAGGCAAAGCGAAGGAATGCACATCCATACAAAGCCACGCATAGCAATGCAATGCGCTTGCGATGCAGCACGCCAATCCAAATCAATACAAAGCAACGCACGGCAATGCGACGCAAATCAAACCAATACATAGCAATGCGGTAGCAATGCGGTAGCAATGCGGTAGCAATGCGGTAGCAATGCGGTAGCAGTGCAAAGCAAATCAGAACAAGTAAATGCAATGCAAATCAATGCAAAGCAATACACAACAAGCCAAAGCAATGCAGAGCATTTCAAAGCAATGGAAAGCAGTGCACATCAGTGCAAAGCAACGCGATGCAATGTAAAGCATTGCGAAGCAATGGACAGCAGCGCAAAGCAATACGATGCAACGCCACAAATACGATTCGATTGCAACGGCGGGGGGCGGTGCAATGGGGCGGTGGCGACGAGGCGGCGACGGGGCGGCGACGGTGAGCACGAGACGGCGGACCCGACAAGGGAGCCCGTACGACGGTGCGTCGACGGGGCGGCTACGGCGACCACAAGGCCGCGGACACGACAACGGAGCCCAGGTGACGGGCGGCGGCGGTGCGGCGACGGGGAGCACGAGAGGGCGGACCTAGCAACGGAGCCCAGGCGACGGGCTGCGGCGGGGCGGCGACGGGGCGGCGACGGCGACCACAAGGCGGCGGACCCAGCAACGGAGCCCAGTTCCTCAGAAAACAAGCAAAGACCACTAAGTGCAATCGCAGCCTGGAGAACAATGATAATATCCGCCGACCCTGTCGGCGTGTGTGAGGGGCTTGTCCGTTCAAGTCGTCATCTTCGTCATTCGTTGGTCGTCGTCTCTGTCGTCTCCTTTCCCTGCCTCTCCCCTTTCCGTGGGCTCGTCGAAGCTCCCCCCTTTCCTAGGGACCTCCTCAGCGCGCCAGCCAAAGCGAAAATAAGCAACGTCGTAATCGAGGGGAAGGGAAGCCCCTTCCCTTCGATCCCTCCCCCGCAGGGGGGGGTCCCGGGGGGGGGGTCAGACGCCCTGGGGGGGGGGGTCAGATACGACGCCCCCCTGGGAGTCGCGGAGCCCAAACAAGCCCCAAGACGGGCCAAGAGTGCCCCAAGAGGCCCCAAAGACAGTCCAAGAGAACCCCGAATCGCCGAACGATCTGTCCAAAACGCCTTGACGGCCTCCAGACGGCCCAAGAGGCCTGCAAAGCGCCCCTAAGAGGCCTCCAGGAGCTTTCTCACGAGATCCCTAAGAGGCAGAATTCATAGATTTCCGATACGTTTTTGACAGATTTTGGCGTTCTTGCCTCTTCCGCTTCCCGACGCGCCAAGACGGCCCAAGAGGCCCCCAAGATCGCCCCGAGACGGCCCAAGAGGCCCCCAAGAGGGTCCCCTAACGGCCGAAGAGGGCCCCAAGACGGCCCAAGACGCCTCCAAGACAGCCCCCAAGACGGCTCCAGGAGAGTGCCCAGTCGGGGGACCCGAACGGACATTTCGAGCTCTCAGCCCCAAGAGGCCCCCAAGAGGCCCCGAAAGAGCTACAAGGGGCCCCAAGAGGCTCCCAAGGGGCCCCCAAACTGCCCCAAGACAGCCCAGGACAGCCCCAAATTGCCCAGGAGGCCTCCAAGAGTGCCTCGAGACGGTGCAAGAGGAGCACTGGACGGCCCAAGACGGCCTCAGGAGAGCCACAGCCTGCCCCAAGAAAGCCTCTGGCCTCCTCATATTCCTCCTCCTCCTCCTCCTCCTCCTCCTCCTCCTCCTCCTCCTCTTCCTCCTCCTCTTCCTCCTCCTCCTCCTCCTCCTCCTCCTCCTCCTCCTCCTCCTCCTCCTCTCCTCCTCCTCCTGCTCCCCCTCCTCCTGCTCTCCTCTGCCTCCTTCTCCTCCTCTTGCTTCTCCTCCACATCCTTCTCCCCCCTCCTCCTCTCCTCCTCCTCCTCCTCCTCCTCCTCCTCCTCCTCCTCCTCCTCCTCCTCCTCCTCCTCCTCCTCCTCCTCCTCCTCCTCCTCCTCCTCCTCCTCCCCTCGTTTTCATCTTCGTCGCTCTCAGGGTCGGCGGCAACGGCCGTAAGGCCTTCGCAATGCATTTGCGACCAAATCTTGGGCCATACTCGGGGAGGGCACGAGCACTTCGTGCTGTTGTTGTCAAAAGAACGGCGGGGGTGCCAGCAGATGGCCTGCCGTGACCAGGGCCACAGCCACTGTTGGAAAACGATGCAGACTGCACTTCGCAGCTAGATCTGGATCATGCGCGGGCATCCCGAGATCACTTTGCATTAGCTTTCGGCAGGCACCGCGCGCTTGCTGCCACAATACCTGCTGTCTGCAGGCCCATAATGACCACTCCGCCGCGATTGTGCAGTGGCTTTCGAGAAGGATGGTGGGGGCCGACATGTTTGAAGGGGCCCTGGGACACACAAATAAATACACACAAATAAAAAGATTCCCCATGTTTTCATATATGTTCTGGGTTTTTGTCTTCCCCCCCCCCATTTCCCATATTTTCCCATATTTCTGGGGAATCGACGATTACTTGTGTCTGTGTGTTTATTTCCCTACTGAATGTTTCCCGATGTGTGCGGGCGCACCTGGCACACTCTGCGCGCGCCCCGCACCTGGGGCACCTGGCGCGGCCGGAGCATGCGGCACGCGTGGCGCACGAGGGCGCACGTAGCGCGTCTGGCGCACCAGGCGTGCCCGGCATGCTTGGGCTCCAGGGGCGCCGTGTGCGCCTGGTGCGGTGGCGCGCCTGGCACGCGTGGCGCACCTCGCCCGACGTCGCGCGCATAGGACCTGTATTGGTTCCCGGCAGGTGCCCATCCATCCAGGGACGACCACGGAACATGCTGACACTCGGGTACTACTGATGCGTTGAGAGTCGGGGGAAGTGAGTCAAACAGCTTGCGTCTGGGAGATGTGTCGTGACACCTCCCTCTATGTACCATATTCCCTTCCCCTGGATCTGGCCCATGGGGGGGCGAGAAGTCAGAGCGTCCAAGATGGCCCAAGATGGCTCAAATAGGGCCCCAGAGAGGCCAATCTGACCTCCAAGATGGCTCAAGATAGCTCAAGATGGCTTCCAACATGCTCCAAGGGGCCTCAAGACCGCCCAAGGACAGCCCAAAGTAGCCATGAAGCCCGCCAAGAAGCAACCAAGAGACCCAAATCCTTCAAACACCTAAAGGCAATCGGTGAGTGTTACCTTCTTGCCTTTTCGCTTCCGACTGCCTTCCGAAGCATTAAGATGGCTCCAAGATGGCCCAAGAGGGCCTCCAGAGAGGCCCAAGAAATTCCCAAGAATGTCCCGAGAGCGCCAAGAGGTTCCTAAAAGGCGATCTTAGGTGCTGTCGAGGTGCAGCGCTAATTAATTGGCATCTTCCTCCTCCTCCTCCTTCTCCTCCTCCTTCTCCTCCTCCTCCTCCTCTTCCTCATCCACCTATTCCTCCTCCCGCCTCCCCCCGCCGCCCTTCTCCTCCGCCTTCTCCTCTCCACATCCCTGATCAGGGCAACTCGCCTGGGCATCTTTTCTTGATGGGCCGGATGCGCTAGAGGCCCAAAAAAGCGAAAACGAGGGAAGGGTGGCGGTATACGTACTTTTTACCCTTCTGGGGACCAGCAACGAGGGCTGCTGCAGCTCCATCTGGACGGCCCGGATCTTTCCGTCAGCGAGCTGCGTGTACGTGAACGTCACCAGCTGCCCCCTCAGATCCACTCCGGGCGCCATCGGTGGCAGGGTGCCCCGCTCAAAGCGCACGTCCTCGGCGAGGCAGGAGCTGGTGACGAACCCGTAGCCGTTCTTCTCGCTATCCGCAGCAGTACCTTGTGCACGCTGGGGCGTCTTAGAATGCACCTCTGCTGTCTGCTAAAGTCGACCCCATGCCAGGGTCGCGCGCCTCCTCAGGCAAACAGAAGCCTCCCAAAACGGACATAGTAGGCTTTGGAGAGGCCCTCGAGAAGCCCAATGTGCGTCTTTGACTAAACTTCCTTCAAGCTGGGCTGCTGCACTGGCGTGGTGGCTTTTTTCTCAGAGATGGCACCCGACGCTGAAAACTGCCAGCTTTCCAACTGGTGGGAAGGAAACTCCACCATGCGCGTGCAGGCCGAAGCGAAGAAGGAGGACGGAAAGAGGAAACGAGAGAGGGGAAGGAGTACTGAACGCGTCCGCATGTCCAGGTATCATTCATGCCCGGGGCCGAAGGGCCCGAAGCCGATCATCGCAGAAATGGCGCGGCGGCGGGGTTTGCCGCAGGCAGCCGGATAAGACTTTATCTCCCCCGGCAGCGGGTAGCCCTCCACGGGGAACAGCGCCACTGCGGTCGCCTTCGCGCGGCCGTCCGCACCGCGCTGGCCCTCGAACTGCACCTGCCGGCCCCTCAGGACCTTGTCCGACACCTCCCTCGCGTCCGCGGGCAGCTCGTTGCGGGAGAACATGATGTCGCCCTCGACCTCCTCGCAGGTGATGGCAGGGGAGCAAACAACGGCATGAGCATACCAACTCGGAGACCCGCGCGGATTCCTCGGACCCGTGCTGGGGCCCCCTGGCGGCGCCGCCCCTAGCGCGCTGTGCGCGCCAGGGTTTGGGGGCGGCCCAGCGCCGGTCCGAAAAGGCCCGCGCGGGCCTCCGATGCGGGGCGTTCTCTGTGCACGCCGCGGTCTGCCCCCCCGGGATGAAGCCGTAGCCCTTCAGCCCGTTCCACGACTTGACGAGCCCGCTCAGCGGGACCCCCGCGTGCATGCTCCCCTCCTCCGCCATCTGCCGCGCGCCGGGGCCGCGCGCCTGGATGGGCACGGGGCGCGAGCGCCACGCCGCCGCCCCGCCCCGCACCGCCGCCGCCGCGCGCCCGAGGCCCCTTGACCGGGAGAAGTGCTGCGGAGGAGGAGCGCCCATTGGCGCGCCCAGCGGGGGGGAAGGCGGCCAGGGGGTCTGTGGCTGTATCGGTTTGTTCTTGCCGGTTTTCTTGGTCGGTGGCGCGCCCAACTTGGAGGCGACCAGGGGGGGTCTGGGTTGGGTGGGCTCATGGAGGGCGACAGGTACGGCGAGGCCCGCTTGGAGGCGGCAGGGGGGTCTGAGCTCCACAGGATTCCTTCGGAAAGCCATCGTTACGAAATCCGTGTGATTCCTTTTGAAATCCATAGTAATCCTGAGGACATCCATCGGATTCCAGAAGAAATCATTGGATTCCTCAGGAAACTACTGAGGAAACGCATCGGATTCTTGAGGAAATTGAACAGACCCGAGAAAGTCAGCAAGGGGAGCGGGGTGGGGCAGCTCAAATCCGGTAGAAATCGGTCCCCGGACCCCTCCCGGGGCCCATCTAGTACATTTCTGCACCCCGGATCGACGGCCCCGGGGCCCGAAAACGGCCCCAGGAGGCAGAAAAGGACAGCACAAAGGCAAAACAACTCTCAGTCAGAACCTCGAACCTCGCCAACGAATGCTGGGCCACCTCAGACCCCCAGCCTGCTCCAAGATGGGAAAGTCCTTTTTCAGAAGGCGGCGAAGCTTCGGAGAGGGTCCAGAACACATCGCAGAGAACGGTGGCGGCGTCGCTCCCTATCCCAAGCTTCGTGGGGCTCTCGCATGGACCAGACATGTGGTGCCCAACCCTGGGAAATACGACGGGGGGGGGCGCCCATCCTCGGTAGGAGTGCGTCCGACTAGCCCCCTTGGGGTGTATCGCAGCGTTCCCCCCTTTGCTTGCACGGCCAAGCTTCTCGGGCGGAGCTCGGGGCCTGGGGGAGAAAAGCGCCTGCGAGGACAGGGCCCGGAGAGCTTCGCAGAAGGCCGGGGGCCTTCCGAGTTGGAGGAGGAGGAGGAGGAGGAGGAGGAGAAGGAGGAGGAGGAGGAGGAGGAGGAGGAGGAGGGGGAGGAGGGAGGAAGGAGGAGGCAGGGAGCAGGGAGGAGGGAGAAAGGTGGGAGGGGGGAGGGGAAGGGGGGAGGAGGAGAAACGGAGGAGGAGGAGGAGAAGGAGGAGGAGGAGAAGGAGGAGAAGCGGAGGAGGAGGAGGAGGGCGAGGGAGGAGGAGGAGGAGAAGGAGGAGGGCGAGGAGGACGAGGAGGAGGAGGAGGAGGAGGAGGAGGAGGAGGAGGAGGAGGAGGAGGAGGAGGAGCGAGCAACCCGGGGGGCGGTCACGCTTCGCTTCCGCCCACGCCCGCCGCCCGCCCAGGCCGCGGGGCCCCCCCGCGCCCGCCAGGGCATGGACGTCGTCGGCGCGCATGCGGCGCAGGTCGCCGCCGCCCCGGAAGGGAGTCGGGCTGATCCCTCCTCCTCCTCCTCCTCCTCCTCCTCTTCCTCCTCCGCCTGCTCTCCTCCTCCTCCTCCACCTCCTCCTCCTCCTCCTCCTCCTCCTCCTCCCCCTCCTCCTCCTCCTCCTCCTCCTCCTCCTCCTCTTCCTCCTCCTCCTCCTCCTCCCGAAAGGGAATCGGGCTGATCAGCCTCCTGGTCAGAGACGCGGGCATCTCGGCCTCAGCGTCGCACGTGTCTCCAAGGAGTCCTTCGGCAGTTTCTCCGTCGTGGGGACCATCATGGGACTTATCCGCGAGGGTCGCAGCCCGGAGAACCAGCACCGTCGTCAGCAAGAGCCTCCGGGAGCAGGGCCGTCGCCGGGGGTCAACATGGCTGCAAGCTCTGCCCAGTCCGAATCGGGGTTCTGGTCAGCACCCAGGAGTTCTAGAGGAATGGCCCCGCGCGGAGCGGCGGAGGCCGCCGACGGCTCAGCAGGAGCGGCGGTGCCGAAATGGCAGTCGAACTCGTCGTGGGACACACTGTCCTGGAAGGCCAGAAGCGGCGGCTGCACAGCCAGAGGAGGCGGTTCGGGAGCGGCTTCTTGGTCCGCGTGCAAGGACACAGGGTCCGTCCCCGACTGCGTCTGCAAGGGATCCGCTGGGAAAGAGGCGAGTCTCCTTCATCTTCATGAAGCGCGTGGTCATCCATGTCCTCGCTGTCCGAGAAGGCGTGTGCCCGCGGCGGGTCGAGATCGGAGGGCTGCGGCGAGCGGCCGACAACATCGTCGAGGAAGTACGCGCGCTCGGTCGGGTTCATGTGCGAGGGGTCTGGTCGCCAGTCACGGACGTAGCGATGCTCGCAGACGCGCCCGCGACGGACGGCAAGGCGACGGCGTTCGGCACTTGACCGCGAAGACGAGAGTTGCCGACGGAGCTGCTCGCAGGCGCAGGCTGAGTCATTCCAAACTTTCTGGCAAATCTCCCTGGCCTTCCCGCGGCGGAAAGCAGCCGCTTGCACGCGCGGGACAGGGCGGGGCGGGGCGCACGCGGCGTGCCGCTAGATGTCCGCAGTGTAGCCAACGCACACCCCATCCAGTCTGCAACGTCTGAAATATTGACGTCGGCGTAGAAGAGCGAAGAGAACCACCCCTGAGCCCACTGAGCAGCGCGGGAGGCAAGGTCATTGGAAACCTGAGAGCGGGCGGCAGACCCGAGCCGCCAGTCGCGTCCGCCGCGCGGGGTAGGAAGAAGGGCCCAGAGAGCAGCAGATTGACAGGATCTCGTAGAGCTGCGTCTCGGCGAAGACCACCTGCTTGCAGTAGTCGGAGTAGCCCGTGGTAGCAAGACACGGGGGACCGACGGGGGGCAGCGGGTGCGGCGGGCGCGGCGAGGTCGTTCACCACCGCGGCATGGCCGGAGCACGGGGCAACACCATCGCTCACCGATAGAACCCCTCCGTCGGGGCGGAGACGCACGCGATTCCCAATAGATTCGCGCCCGCCCCGAGATCCTCGCCACAGGAGCCCGCGCAAGGGGGTCCGTGACTTCCACGGGATGGGGCAGTGGCGTGCGTCTGAGGATGGGGGTTTCGCCATCGGCAGCGGTCGCAAGCTGCCCCGAGGACGAAGGTGCGCCAGTGAAAGCCCGCGGCGGTTGAGGAGCACCCTGGCCGCGGCAGCCCTTCCCGAGATCCTCGCAACGAGCGCCAGAAACAAAGCAATCGCGACTTCCTGGGAATGAGCAAAACGCATCCCCGCGCGAGCGGCGGGGCCGCCCGCTCTGGGCCGAGCCAGCGATAGGGCGAGCGCAGAGCCGGTTATCATCGGTATACGGGTCGTCGAGGTGGAAGACTTCGTCGCGTCGAGCAGCGGCGACTTGTGCACGGGCAGAAGGCTTCGGCAAGCGAGTCCGGGGAGGTTTCGCGAGCTCCTGCACCTGGATCGCGGCCTCAGCGGCAGCGCGAAGGTAAGCAGGAGGAACGCGATCTCGAAACCAACTCGCATGATAGAGCGAGGTGGCCAAGATGATGAGCTAGTCGGACTCGGCGCTGGGTCGGAACATCGGCCAGAGAACCTGAAGTTGAGGGCGAAGCGGGAGACGGCAGCGCCACCGACAGGCACCGTAGCAGGCCGCGGCGTTCCAGATAGCGCGGGAAGTCGCCTAGCACGGGCTCGCAACTGGATGCGCACGGTCGCATGCCAGCTGCCGTCGCGACGCGCGTCGATGCGAGCCAGCCGCCACCGAGTGCGCGGGCGGATGCACGAGTGCGCCCACGCGCGGGGACGACCGCGAAGCAGTCCGCCACAACTTCCACCTTGGGGCCGCACGTGCATCAGCACGCCGACGCGGGGACTGCGCGGGCCAGTGGGCCATCGAAAGAGGAGCGTGCAGGCGACCGCGTGGACCGCGAGAAACGGCCGCCCTGGTAGAGCAAGAAGCGCACAGTCCGTCATGTACTGCAGGATTGCCTGGAAGACGATCTGCTGAGGTTGGTCGTTGGCGTCGCCGAGGTTGCAAAGGTGGCCCACTGCGCGCCGGGCAGGCACCGGCCCCGCGCAGTGGGGGGCAGGGGCGCGACCGCGCGCGGCCAGGTCGAGCGCATGCGCCATGGCGGGCGAGGCCCAGAAGCAAAGCGAGAGGCCATCAGCCAGGTCAGCCAGAGGACGGTGACCAATCCAAAGCCTCGCAGCTTCCTGCAGCGCTTGCAAGTACACGTGAAAGACCGAGTGCGTGCGCATCGCAGATCGCAGCTGGATCGCCTGGGTCGACGCGGGCGCGGATGCGCACCTGGGGGCGCCCTGCCAATGCCACGTCGCAGAGTCCACCCGGCGCAGAGCGCCTCCAGGGTGACGGGCGCGCCCCCAGAGACCGCGAAGCTCATGCTTGCCGCGCTCCGCAGGCAGGATGAAGAACTGACCGACGCGCGACATGGTGGAAACCACCCGCGCGTTATAGATGCGCTTTGGTGGACAGCGGCGCTGACGTCACAACTAGACGTTGAAGCCGTTGCCAGAATTTCTGGCACGGGGCTAGGAGAGACCCCATCGGCGCTGCCGCAGGGCCGAGCCAACAGCCCAAGTGCCTTAGCTTGCTGGCGACGCGGGAGCTAGCCCACCGCGGCACTTGGCCCACCAAGAAGCACTCGATGCGGCTCTGGATCTCCATGGAGCAGGGAGCAACGAACGAAACCAGGAAAGCGCTCTGCTGGCCTGAAGCACTGCGGCGACTGGACCGCGGCCGCGCCCATGATCGAGAGGGGCCCAGGGAGAACCCGACTCGACAAGGGGGCGCCACCACTGCCAGCGCCACGCGCCCGAAGCGAAGCGGGCCCAGGGGAGCGCCCAGTCCGGCGCGGGCGCGGAGGGGCGCCGAGGCCCACGGCGGGGCGAAGCACGTGCCAGAGAGAGCGCAGCCCTGAAGGATGCCGCGGGCGACGCGGGACATCGCGGTCGCACCGCCGGCGCGCGAGGCCGCCGCGGCCGCCGCGAGGGCGCGGGGGCCCTCCGCCGCTCGGGCGAGGCCCGCCCGCGGGGGGGGGGCGAGGGGGGGCAGCGGGGCCCTCGGCGCGCGCGCCTGCGAGGGGCTCGGGGAGGCCTGGCCGAAGCCGGGGGCGACGGACAGCGGCAGCTCGCGGGGGGGCCCGGGGGCCAGGCCAGCCGCGCGCCAGAACTGGGGGGCAAACAGACCTACCTCGCTTTTGACCACCCTCGCTTCCAAGAGATACCAAGCGATGCCAAACTACGGCCTGTACTGGTCAGGCCGCTTGACGAGGCGGCGCGTGGTATGACTTGGTTTTGCCTGGAAGCGAAAGCGGGGTAGGTAATTCACGCCCTGAAGAACGTCACCTTCGATGATGTGATCAGTGACTTCGCGCTCGGCGACGAGGCCCTCCTGCGACGCAGGGGCCACTTGTTGCGCGGTGGTGGTGGGGGGGGGGGGGGGGGCGGCGCGCTGAGCGTGGCGCCTACGATCTCGAGCGAGGCGCTGCGATGGCAGAGGGCGCGCAGGTCGGAGGCCGCGGCGGTCGCCGTCGCGCGCGTCGTCGCCCTGGACGCCCCGAGGGAGGAAGACCTGCTCGTCGTCGGATTCGACGCGAGGTACTTGCCGCTGAGAAGTCAGACGGTCGGGCCCAGGAGGAAGTCGACGCACTCGGGGCAGGATGGCCTGCGACATGCGGGAGGCCGTTCATGCCGGGGGCAAAGGAGGAGGCGGAGGTGGAGGCGGAGGAGGAGGAGGACGACGACGAGGAGGGACGCGAAGCAGCCCAGCCCAGCGAAGAAGGCGATGGTGGAGATGCCGAGGCAGCTGTAGCGCGGCCAAGCTGGTCGCGTATGCACGCGCGCGCTACGGGTGAATTGATGTCGCCCTCTGAGATGGCGGGGTCCCAGTGCGCCGTGACCGCAGCGGCTTCTGCTCGCCAGTGGATGGGCGAGTGCGCCGTCGACGATGCCGTTGAGGTAATGCTTCTTGCCGAAAGGGGCCCAGAGTCGGACGCGACGCGCAGCAGCTGGAAATTGACCCGCGCCCCCCTCGCAGAGGCGCGGGGGCGCCAGCTGGGAAGCCAGCTGCGCTGGAAGAAGAGAGCGGCTGTGGCCATCGGCTGCAGCCGTCCGAGCACGCGAGATCCAGGGCTCGAATGCCGCGGGATCGGCGAGCCCCACTCTGCCGCCCTCTATCCGCAAGCAAGGGCGCATGGGCTCGGAGGCGGCGCGGAGTTCAGCCGCCAGGCAGCGGCAGCTTCGCCGGAGCGCGCAGGGCCGCCCGCCGAGCGGGGGCAGGCTGGCCTCGGGGCGAGTCGGCGCCGGCGTCGATGAAGAGCACGTTTTCGCGGTCGAGGCGGAACGGGGGGGGACAGGTCGATGGAGTCGTCGCGTTCCCAGTCGATCAGGCACAGGGGGGGCGCCGCTTGAGATCGCCACGCGCGCGCCGCATCTGCTTCGGGCTGGAGCGCCCCGCGCCGACGGCGCGAATGCAATCGGGCATGATGACAACGACATCTTTCTTTCTTTCTTTTCATTCTTTTCTTTCGGGCGATTTCACAGCCCCTGGTGACTCTGATCTACTTTGGCTTCCGCTCACCTACGGTGCACTAGCTACCGCCCGTTTTGCCTCTGACAACGACATCTGCAATATAAATGTGGCTCTCCCCCCCCACCCCCAAACCCAAAGTTGAAGTGTCCACGTTTTGCCCCCCGCGCGCTGCCTCGCACCCGAAGCCGTCGACTCTGGGTTGGGGGGGCGGGGGCGATGGATATTTGTTCGACACAGTTCGATGTCGCATCATCTTGGGGCGATGGGCGTGGACACTTGTTGCCCGCCCGCCGGGGGGGGGGGGGGGCGGAGCGGTTTTCGGGCAAGATGGAGATGGAGATCGCCGCGTGGTCGCTGACGCCGTGGCCCGCGAGCTCCCCGGGCGAGCCACCAGTGGTCATCGAAGCCGAGAGCTGGCAGAGCAGCCGAGCCAGCTGGGCAGATAGATCCAACGTCGGTCCAAGGTCGCCACGGAGTCGGAATCGTTTCGGCAGTGGCTCGGATCCGAGATTGCCACCTCCGTGAGCTGGTCGAGCACTCGGTGCCACCTATGCTCATGCGAGCGCCCGATATTCTGAGCGGGCTGAGCTTGGGGCGCCAGATCAGGCAACACGAGCGAAATTGAAGTCCCCAGTAATAATCCAGATGCGCCGAAGGAGGCCCTCGCGGGCACAGACCGTGCCGGCGGCAATGAATGATGTGCCCAAGTTGACCTGAGCGGAGGAGAGGTCATGGTTGCGGATGTTGTAGTGGCGCATCCTGGCCTCAGGTAGCTCTGTGGAGATGCGGAGGACTCGCCCAGGGACCAGCTGGGTTGCCGTCGCATGGTCCAATGCGAGCTGAGAGGCGGGGGGGCCGCGAGCACGCCACGCCGCCACCGGCAGCGGAGCCGAAAAAGCCGAAGACAGCGTGCTTGTGGCTGACCTCCTTGATATATGCAACCGACTCTGTCTCCGACTGGTGAACCTCCCAAATCGCGACCATGGTGTCCTTGACGGCCACGTGGGTGCACCGTGCCTTTCTCGACGCCATCCTGCCTCTCCGGCAGAGCAACGCCCCGGCATCCCAGGAGGAGAAGACCATCGAGATGAGGAGCTAGAAGTGGCCGGCGGCAGGTTTGGCCTTGAGGGCCTGGAAGTGGCTAAAGACTCCATTATGTTTCGGCGCTGGGCTGGGCGATGGCATCGATGTCGGCTTCGAAAGTAGTGCGATCCCGATTCCGAGCCGCCAAGCCCACATCGTTGACATCGAACGTCGTCAGTCGCCGACCCGGTTGCGGGGCGATGCAAACGAGCGGTGTCCAGGCTTCCGAGATTAAACCCTGCTCACGGTCGAGGTAGAACTTGTCTTCAGGAAATCGCTGTGGCATGGCATCGAGCAGCTTCTCCCCGTGGACCTCAAACGTGGAGATGGACTCTTGTCAGGGCCGATTCGAAGTTGCGTCTGGGCGCCAGTGGCGCCGGGGGGGCGGGAGCCACATCCAGCCCCGCTCTAGCTCGAGTGAGCCAAGGGCCTTAGAGGCTCTGCTGCCCGCAAGGCCGACCGCGCCCATCAAGTGCATGGTGTAGAGCTGGCTCTGCGCCTCGCCGATGGGCTCCTGGGTGCCGTCCAGCTTGACATTGTTGAGCCAGTGCGAGACGAAATTGTGAGCGTCTTCTCTCTTGCAGATGAGCAGGGCGGTAACTTCGACAACCGTGGATTCGATGCTCCTTCTGAACGCATGATCGGCTGGCCGATAAAGTTGAGGCGCTTAGCCCGCCACCGCGAAAGCCGCTTCCAGCGCCTTGATCTCCTGAGCAAGCGTTTGAAGCTTCGCTTCGTGCTCCCCCACCGTGGACTCGACTGCTTCGATTCGGACCGAGATGCCGTCAAGATGCTGTTGGCACCTCCTTTCCATCGCGTCGATACCAGGCTGAAGAGCGGCAGAAGCGGGGGCCACTGCAGCCTGTGGGGCGTTCTGGACAGCCTGCTTGACCGAGGCCCATGCATCGCCGAGAGGGTCGACTCCCGCCTTCGCTGCCTCGCTAGCGACGGTCGCGATGGAGGCTTGGATCTGCTCGAGGACCCCAACTGCACAAAGGGCTCAAATGTGTTCGCGAAGGTCGTCGTCATACTCGTCGTCGCTACGGCGCGGCTGGAGCGAGACCTGCCGTCCTCATCGGCACACCAGCAGCAGGGCGGGGAAGGCCACGGCGCGCGAAGGCCAGCGCGATCCGCACCGCCCAGCATATTCTTGGATGTCCTCTCGCCCGCGCCGCGCGCAGCCATGATCGGGCCAGGCGAAAGGGGGGGATACCAAAGGGGGGGGTTGAGAATCAGCTCACGTCGCTGATTTTCGGCGCCCATGTATCGAGGAATGGGCCCCACGGTGGGGCCGAAACCAGCTGCATGCAGCAGATTTCGTAACCCCCCCTTTCCCAATCCCCCCCTTTCGCCCAACCCGACATGAGGTCAGAGAGCCGAGCAGGAAAGGGAAGCTCCACCGTTTACCCACCCGACCGCCCGAGGAAGCCCGAGGGCGCTCCGGCAGGAGCTCACCGGAGGGTAAAAGCGGGCCGCGGACTAGCGGTACCCTCTGTGTCCCAGAGGAAGCGGGCATCTTGGGCCAAAATGGCTGCGGGGGAGGAGGGGGAGGCCTCTCCCCAGAGGTCGGCGCGAGAGGTGGGGTCTGCGTGCCCAGGTCGTGATCTTTTACGATGCTGAAGCTGTTTTTCGCGAAGTCGGATCTCAGGGGGGGGAACCCAGACGCGATCGCGTCGTAAAACAAAACTCGACGGGAAGGTTTGGCAATGTTCGGTCGGGGGGGCCTCGCCGGGCCTGGGGGGCTGTCAGAGAAAGATTCGGGATGAAAAACTGGCCCTGGGGAAAGGGTCGGGACTTCCGGGGACCCCGTACTGAA